CCTCCTCAGCAGCGCTAAGGATGTCCGACTGCAGCTTAGGTCTGCTCCCCGCTGGCAAGTGGACATCTCCCGATGGCTGCCGGGCTGCCAGAGGGATGTCTGATTCCCAGCTTAGGCCCAATCCCCTGGGGAGCAGGCCTCAGCCAGCAGATGGTCATCCCCCGAGGGGTCCCAGACTGTGAGAGGGCACAGGCCGGGCTGAGGGACCCCCCCCCCCCGGGAGGGCACAAATTTTTGGGCACCGGGCCTCTAGTATTATATTAAAAGGCTTTTCAAATGAATATGAAAAAGATGGACACCCAGGGTGGCAGAGGGAGCAGTATTATGTTTTCCAACAATATGAAAACAGAATTATGTTTTCAAAATTTATTAGCAGGATGTGAAAATTCTAATTGTTACCTTATGGTTTGCCTTTCTTGATCGACATATCTTATTTGTGATGCAAGCATAGTTTTGTGAACCTTAATTTCTTCAGTTCGTTCTTCCATAGTTGTTTGTAATTGCTGTTTTCTTTTTTCCAGAGAAAGAACTTCTTCTGCTTTACTGTGAAGCAATTCACGAGTACGTTTAGCTTCAAGTTTTAAAAGATTGTCTTCAATCATCAAGTCCTATCATAGTCAAATATTAAAAAATTATTTTTATACCCAAACCAAAATATTTTTCTTTATTACTGCTACAAAAGTCAAACTTGAAAACATAACTTTTTTCTGATTTGACCATTGACCAAGATGTTAACTAAGGTTAAATTTAGATTGCTCTGAGTCATGACTCTGGTTTTCCTTTGCTTTTTTTTTCCTCTTCCTTTTTATTTCTGTCCTTTTCACTTAAAAAAAAAATTATAGCCATTCCAAGTCTTTTACTATAATTCAATCCTAAATTCAAGTTTTATTAAAGAAAAAAAGGAAAAAATTATTCCTAAAATTGAAACTGAAAATATATAAAGCTCTATGGGTGAGCATTTTTATTTTCTAAACTGAATCTCATAAAATGATATGTAATTAAATTTTTATTTTAAAATGATTCCATCATGAGTAGAGTCCTGATAAAAAGTATACAGAAAATTTTCAGAATAGAAAGCCCAGAAACAAACACTCAAGAATATAAGATTTTTACTATTTCAAAAATATAGTTTTTTAGTTGGAGAAAAGATTATATCCCTACATTTCATATGTACCAAAAATAAATTCCAGGGCAGCAGCAAGAGATAAAAACAATGCCGCTATTAGAAATAGCAAGCATTTGTTTGATTTTTATATGACAAAGAAGTTTCTAAACAACATTTATACAAGGAAAAGCACTTAAATGTTTGATGTTTAAAAAACTTTCATGTCAAAAAACTAAATAAAGCTCTAACCGGTTTGGCTCAGTGGATAGAGTGTCGGCCTGAGGACTGAAGGGTCCCAGGTTCCATTCCGGTCAGGGGCATGTACTTTGCTTGTGGGCACATCCCCAGTAGGGGGTGTGCAGGAGGCAGCTGATCGATGTTTCTCAGTCATCGATGTTTCTAACTCTCTATTCATCTCCCTTCCTCTCTGTAGAAAATCAATAAAATATATTTTTTAAAAAAATAAATAAAAATTTAAAGACAAATGGAAAAAATATTGGCACTATTTAAGGCAAAATTAATATTTTTACATATGAATATCTTTTGCAAAGCAATTAAAAAATATAAACCTCCTAATGGAAATATGGGCCAAGAACATAAACCAGAAAGCAAAAAATAAAAATTGTGGAACATCCTATATAATAAAACCCTAATATGCAAATCGACTGAATGACAGAACAACTGGCAGAACGACCGGTCACCATGATGCACACTGACCACCGGGGGCAGATGCTCAATGCAGGAGCTGCCCCCCCGGTGGTCAGTGCACTCCCACAAGGGGAGTGCTGCTCAGCCAGAGGCTGGGCTCACGGCTGGCAAGCATAGTGGTGGTGGCAGGAGCCTCTCCCGCCTCCATGGCAGTGCTAAGGAGCAGCAAGCTGAGCGGTAAGGAGTGAGGGGTCCTAGACTGTGAGAGGGTGCAGGCTGGGCTGAGGAACCCCTTGCCCAGTGCACAAATTCCATGCACTGGGCCTCTAGTAGTATAATTAAAAGAAACTGTTTTAAACATTTTTGTTTAAACACTAGGGGTCCAGTGCACGAATTCATGCACCTTGAAAGGAACTGTGGGCCGCGAGGCTACAGTGGGCACAGAGGCGGGTCTCAGCCCATCCTCTGCCCCCCCACCCAGCCCCTCCTGCCGGGGCCCCTGGTCCCCTGTCTGCTGGCAGCCCTGCTCCTCCCACCACTGCTCCCATGGGCTGATGGTGCCGGCCCCGCTCGCGGAGTGATTGGGGCCGGCACCAGCAGTGGGTATGAGCGGGGCCGGTGCTGTCAGCAGAAGCGAGTGGAGGCTGCTGCCCTGATCACCCTCAGGAGCAGGAAGAGGTGGAGAAGCCCTCAGGGGCAATTGGGGCCAGCAGTCGCTGCTCGTACCTGATGGTGCCGAGCGATCGGGACCGGCACCAGGTGCTGGCAGCAGGTGCAAGCGTGCCTGCAGCAGATATGAGCACTGGGCCAGACCGTGGCATGTGGGAGCAAAGAATTTTCAGTAACCAACTGAAGCTGGCCCTGATGACAGCAACTGGTGCCCCACCTTGGTCTGGCGCCCTTACTCACCTGCTCCACCATCTGCCGCAGTCAATGCCCGCCATGTTCCGCATGCACCCCCTGGTGGTCAGCACATGTCATAGTAACCAGTCATTTGGTTGTTCTGCCATTTGGTCTATTTGCATATTAGCCTTTTATTATATAGGATATTTTATTTTTAAACATAAAGTGTTTCAAAATGTCACAAAGTTTAAAAATGCAGACTAAAAACAATGAGATATCATGTTTGACCATCAAATTGACAATAATTTTATCAACTGTAAGATCCAGCTTTGATGGTGGTAAGTAAAATAGGATGCTTACACATTGCTACTGGGACTATTAATTGAACCCTCTAGAAGACAATTGGACTTAAACATAGTTTTAAGACACTGAAAATATTCATTCTTTTTCAACCTTAATTATACAGGTGGAGATTTATCCTAAGGAACTAACTGAACAACTGTTCAATGATATATGTGCATAGAACATGATAATACTATTTAAAATAGCCAAATACTAGAAACAATTATAAATCCAAAAAATAAGAGATTGCCCAAGTAAATTATAGTAACTTTGTGCAATGGACTGTGGGAAGACTTCAAAAAATTTTTTTTCCTGGTCACTACAAGATCATATTTTTAAAAATTATCTTTATTGCTGGAAGTATTACAGATGTCCCTTAGGTTTTTTGTCATTTTTCCCCCATTGACCTGCTCCACCCCACACCTGCCCTTCCCAAGCCTTCACCACACTATTGACTGTGTCTGGAGGCTATGTGTATCCTATATAATAAAAGGCTAATATGCAAATTGTCCCCTCAACTGGGAGTTCAACTGGGAGTTTTACCAGGGGGCAGGGCCAGCCCGCCACCCACCTGTGGCCCCTCCTCCCAGCTGGCCCCGACCCAGACCCCCCCCCCACTCTGATTGGGTGCAGGGCCAGCCGACCAGACCCCACCTGTGCACGACTTTGTGTACTGGGCCTCTAGACTAATACGCACATTGTACCCATGGGAGTTTGACCAGGAGATCCATCGCTTGCTATTATACACTGACCACCAGGGGGAGGCACGGAATGAAGGAAGGCCCCAGATGGCAGTCAGAAGGCCCCGATCGGCCCTGATTGCCGGCCACGCCTAGGGACCCTACCCGTGCTTGAATTTCATGCATTGGGCCTCTAGTATGTATATAAAATCTTTGGTTAATCTCTCCCCCCATCCCCATCTCCTTTATCCCCATCTTCCCTCTGAAATTTGTCAGTCTGTTCCATGTTTCTGTGTCTCTAGAATATTTAATGTTTTGGAAGCATGTATATTAACAAATTTTAAATACAATATATATAGCAAATTTTCTTTGAGACTGGAAAGAAATAATGTATTTTAACACTTTAGTGACTTACTGTCTTTTTCAAATGTTGCTATGTTTTTTAAATTTTTCTATATTGAGCCTGAAAACATGTAGATTTTATTATATACTGATATTATTTTACTGTACCTGCTTCAAAGCTCGAGCTTTACTAAGTTCTTTCTCTGATCTTTCATTGAAAAGGTTTAGTTCATTTATTTTGGTCATGAGGGACTTTTTTTCATCAAAATTTTTACTGTTTGACATCTTGATAAAGTAAAGATCATTCTGTAAGAAGGAAAAAAAGTACACAAATATGTTTTTAAATAGCAATATTAAATACATACTATTAAACATCTTACATTAAATTATGTGCTCCATTAAATATTAAAATAAATCACATTTTTAAAGTCTTATTATTTATGCTGTAACATCTCTAATACAATATTTATGGATATTAACATAAATTTTTTTTCATTTTTATCATTTACAGTGGGGCCTTGACTTACGAGTGTCCCGATTAACGAGTTTTTCGAGATACGAGCCGTCTCTCGGCCGATTTTTTGCTTTGAGTTGCAAGCTAAAATTCGGGTTACGAGCCAGCTTCAGATACCCCACCGCTAGTTGACGCAGCAAACGTCACAGTGAACGCCACATCAGCCCAGCATCACGTGTCTCACTCATTCACTTTTGATTTGACATACAAGTAATTTGAGTTACGAGCTCCGTTACGGAACGAATTAAACTCATAAGTCAAGGCCCCACTGCATTGATGTTTTGGGTTTAGTTTACTTATTTATGGTTACCGTTCAATGTGATTCTAAAGGGAAAGACATGGGAAGAGGGAGTCCAAGCTTTGGTTCACCTTCTAGAGTTCATTATTTGATTCAACCCAAGTCCCAGAAGGTAAAGACATTAACAGTGTGAAAAAGCATAGGGTCTTGGTTAACAGTGCAAGCTCTGGAATCAGATGATAACAATACCTACTTCCTTAGGTTGCTGTGAGGATTAAAGAAGTTATTGGCCAACAATAAAGATTAAAAAATAAATAACTTTAAAGAAAGAAGTTACTGGCAAAGAGTATGCACAACAGCGTTTGATATACAAAAAGCTCATGTAGTATTACATATATAATCACATATTGCTAGAGAGAAAAAATGTTATATAAGATCTAACTCCATAGGATGCATTGTAGGTCATACATACACAGATTGTAGTTTTCTAGCTTTAGACCAGTTTGTATCCCTCCTCCCACCCTGAACCCAGAACAAGGTTTGTGCTTTTAGTCCCCTCTGGGTATGTAAAGCAAAAACTTTTTAGTTCCAAGATCTATCTCTCTTTCCATTCTGTCTTTTTCTTTCTCACTTTGTCTATACCTCTCCCCTCCCCTCCTCTGCCTTTCTCATTGCCTGTATGTCTCTGAAGTATTAAGACCTAGGACTGTAGCAATACAGTAAGAAGAAGAATTTTTTTAAAGAAAATGTGATTTCATAAAATTAAGTTTTAGAACCAAAAAACAAATTAAGTTTAAGGTGAATTTCAACCAAAAGAAAGTAGTTTCTGTGATGCACAATAAGAGATGGAGTGGCATGGGAGCAGGAACGCAGAATGACTTTACAACACCATGCTACTAATGAGAGCAACCTTCATTAGAATAGTAACAATATCTTTCAAAATTCACTTGCATTTCTATTAATTTATTTTTCTCTCTGTTAAAACCAGAGTTAGAATAGGTATAAGTACTAGCCAATTGCTGAAGAGGGAACACTAAACCCATCCCCACACAGCAAAGCAGGCACAGTTCAGGCCAGGATCACGAAAGATGATACACAGTTCACCTTCTTATATTTCTAATAGAAGCCCAATGCACAAAATTCGTGCAAGGGGCTCAGCCCTCGAAGCCTCGGCTTCATCCGGAAGGTCATCCAGAAGGTCATTCAGCCATCAGGTCTAATTAGCATATTATGTTTTTACTAGTGGCCTGTTGCACGAAGATTTGCGCAATAGGCCTTCCTTCCCCTGGCTGCCAGCACCAGTTTTCCTCCGGCACCCGGGACCCAGGCCTTTGGTCCAGCCGCAGCAGCGAGGCTTGGCTTCTCCCCCAGCGACCCAGGCCCCCAGCCCCTCCTTGAGTGGAGTCTGGGGTCGGTGGGAAGCTTGGCTTTCTCCATCGCTGGGAGTAACCCAAGCCTCCTGCTCGCTTCAGCTCCGTGACCGCCGCCATCATCAGTCATCTTTAGTCTTCTTCAGTCTTCGCTCCATGCCTGTGTATGCAAATTAACTGCCATCTTTGTTGGGTTAATTTGCATAGTCACTCTGATTGGCTGGTGGGTATAGCAGAGTGGCAGAGTGATGGAGTGATGGTTAATTTGCATGTTTCTTTTATTACATAGGATTATTATAGACGAGAGGCCCAGTGCATGAAAATCATGCATGGGAGGGGGGTCCTCTCAGCCTGGCCTGCACCCTCTTACAATCTGGGACATCCCCCTCGCAATCCAGGACTGCTGACTCCTAACAGCTGTTCTGCCTGCCTGCCTCATCACCCCTAACCACTCTCCTGCCTGCCTCATCGCCCCTAACCACTCGCCTGCCTGCCTCATCACCCCTAACCACTCTCCTGCCTGCCTCATCGCCCCTAACCACTCGCCTGCCTGCCTCATCACCCCTAACCACTCTCCTGCCTGCCTCATCGCCCCTAACCACTCGCCTGCCTGCCTCATCACCCCTAATCACCTCTGCCTCGGCCCCCACTGCCATGGCTTCATCCAGAAGGACATCCAGAAGGTCATTTGGTTGTTCGGTCTAATTAGCATATTATGCTTTTATTATTATAGATTATTATAGATAGTACTAAAGGCCTGTTGCACGAAGAGATTCGTGCAACAGGCCTTTCCTTCCCCTGGCTGCCGGCACCAGTTTTCCTCTGGCACCCGGGACCCAGGCCTTTGCTCCTCCAGCAGAGCCTTCAGTCTTCGCTCTGCCGCTTCGCGCCTACATATGCAAATTAACCACCATCTTTGTTGGGTTAATTTGCATACTCCCCTGATTGGCTGGTGAGCATAGCAGAGGGACAGTCAATTTACATGTTTGTCTATTATTAGGTAAGATGAGTATTCCTATACTCTGTATCATTAAAACAATACCATTTACTGAGTACTTGCTAAAAAGCACTGTATGAAGATATAAACTGCTTGTAATTCTCCATAATGCTGTAAAATTAATATTAAATTATTTTCCATTTAAGAATTGAACAAACTAGGACACAGAGAAGTTAAAACAGCAGTGATATAACCTTGACATTCAAAACTAATTCTTTCTGATTCCAAAACATGTGCTCTTTTCTACCAAACCAAGGAAACATTTTAAAAAGACATTTTATCATGCTACAAACTACTCCAAACCAACATTTTATCATCATAAAATAATTTTTTTTTAATGTAAAAAAGTTAATAGCTCCCTTTCTCCTTTGTTAGCCCTAAAGGAATCCAGGACAATTCCTCTTATAGCCACTAGAGGACACTCATCACTAGGCCTTCCCAGCTGTTTAAAAAACTGAAACCCTTTGGTGTTGTTACCCATTCAGGTCCATGCTCTCATTCTTTCACTCTCACTCTCCAATTAAACTTTAACATAGGTTTTATATTACATAGGCTTCCCTAACATAGGTTTTATATTACTATAAACATATTAATATACCTAAAAATTAAGATTATTCTCATCTTATTAACAAAATTGAGTTATTTGAAAAATGTAACTAAGTAAATATTTGAATAACGACAATAGATGAGCCATAAAACGGCAGTTTCTTTTAGAGGTTATTTCATACATAACAGACAATCAAGTTATTATGGCAAATGCATAATAGAAAAACAAATTTATCAATGCTTTAGATCATGTACTATTTAAGAGTATTTTGAAGTCACATGAACCAGTGCTCAAATCCTAGCTCCTCATGTACTAGCTGTGTAGCTGTGGACGAGTAACTTAATCTGTAAAACAAGTAATGATATCTTCCTCATAAGTTCCCCTATTTATAAAAATAAAATGAAATAAAATACTAAATGCATGTGGTGTATTTAGCATGTAGTAAGTGCATAATCAATGGTAATGTTGCATTTTTATAGAAATATGGCTATCAGTTCATACGTTTCTTATATATGTGTGTAGCTTGGCAATCTCCTATCCAAAGTTAAGTCTTAGGAACATATTATCTTAAAACAGAATGACTAATGACTAGCATATTTGAAGCATAAAAAGTGTTTTTGGATAAGTTACATGAAGCTTCTTGATCTGTGTTTCCAAAGTGCCAAGTGTAGAATTTCTCTCTTCCAACGTCTCTTTAAGTTCCACAATTTTTACTTGAAGACTTTGCTTTTCTTCTGAATTAATTTCTCCCCTTAACCGTGACATTCGGCGTTGCACTTGTTGAATGTGAAAATCCTGTTACAGTTTATTAAAATAAGTTAGTAAGGAGAAACAAATGGTGAAAAATATTTCTACAACTATAAAGACACGGTAAAGACCTTTATATCAGTTGGCCTAGGTGTCACTTTAAGCCTTCAGTAATTTACAGGATAAAATCCTTCTTACCCTAAAGAGAGAAACACCAACCTATTCTTCAACAATCAGGGTACATGATAGTGACATATAAGTAATCTGAAAATATAACAAAGTCATGTAGGGAGCTATTTATTGTATTACCATGATGGAACCTCAGTAAACAAACTGGATATACATGGACATACATTTTTGAGGATACATTTTCAAAAGGGGATGCAAAAAAATAATAATAATATAGTCATGAGTTGTTAGCCATAAAAAAACCAAAGCTCCTAATGAATTATTTTTTAAAATTAAGCTTTAGCATCTGTAATTTTGAGAAACTAAAAATATATTAGATAGGGAGATTAAGATGTACAGAGGGAGGACATTAAGAGATAAATGAGACAGAACAAATAAATAGAAAAAATAAGGAAAAACTGAAAAAAATACTTTCAACCTATTTGTCTATGGGTGGGGATGAGAAAGCCTATGTCCCTATGTCCACACAACTAAAACATCAACATACAGTTTTTCTAGGCTTCAGATGTCCAACTCCTTGTTTTGTTTTACTCTATGTTCAATTGCCCCAGGTTCATGGTTCTCCCTCACAAGAGTTGTCTGTCCTCTTACCTGTTTATTTCAGATAGAGGGAAAAAAAATAGCATTTAAGGCTTCCTCACCCTACTACTGACCTAGCATGAAATCCCATCTTCAATAGCTGTCTATCCCTCAAAGAGTGCTTAGAAATTTTTGTTTTCCCGGAGCACTGTAGTATCTTGACCATCACAACTATAACAAGTCAATATGGAAGATATTCATAAGAGTAACATCTACCTGACTGTACATAATTTCTTGCTGCTTCAAGGTTTCAAAATCCAGTTTATGTAGCTGATGGTTGAGGTGCTTTAGAGAGGAACGGGTTCCTTCAATTTCTGATATAAGAGATTTTTCTTTCATTGTCTCAGTCTGTAATTCACGACCTATCTTAAATAGCACACCTTTCAATATGGTCAATTGAATTTCCACTTCCTGGTGACAAGAATAATAGGGATTAGTGAAATTTTAATACCTTAAATATTTTATTTTATAAACAGTATAATATAGGGGGCTCATAAATGAACCCCCAACATTTTAGCTCTTGAGATATAAAGGCCTCCCACAATTTCAACAAATCCCCAACATTTCTTATAGTCTACTCTATGCTAGTAGACTAGAATAGTAGTTTTCTATTCTTTTTTTTTTTATTGCTTAAATTATTACAAAGAGTATTACATGTTTCTCCTTTTTTTCCCCCGCCCTTGACAATCAGTTTTCTATTCTTGTATCATGTACCTTGATCTGTTATTCCACCCTAGCCTTAGAACTAGGGATTCCACTGGTTTCCTTAGAAAACAGAATATAAATTCGCATTTACTGAAGTCTTGAGGGTGTTATAGGGAAGAAATTACATCGTTCAATTTCCTACCTTCTTTGGGGCACAAATTAAGAAATATAATCTGATATAATCATATAAAATGCATTATTTTTCATATAACAGACACTTTTCATTGGGTTTAATACCTTCTCAAAGATTGCCTAGCAGAGTTTTCAAGTTAGTGCTTGGTGGTGAATAACACAGCACATCTCCAAAACACATAGGGTTGGGATTTTTCCAAACAGACACAAAATCCAATGGCTATAAAAATCAAGATTCTGAACACAACCCTGCTAGAGCACAATTAGTACACATGCTACAATCTTATTTTTTTCAAATTCAGCTAATTTCTTTTAAAATGTCACTAGTTTTTCATTCTGTTGCCCAAAAGTCTATTTCAAGTGAATTTTACCATTTTTACAGATTTCTGATAAGTTTTAATACTGTCCTATCTCAGGTGCTACAGAAAATCATGCTCTTGGAAGAAAAAAATAAGTTAAAAAAATAATATTGGACTCAGACACCACCCAAGTCAACACTGCTGCATGACTTCATTACTCAGGAATTTTAAAAACACAACACACTGAGGAAGCAGATTCTATCCAAATATGAGTGAAACCATCCTTGATATAAACCTCAGCAAATGAGGGATTTTTGCCACCATCTTCAACTACCCTTCTGCTTCACACACACACACACACACACGTTAAAAGCCTGGTTGGTGTGGCTTAGAGGTTGATCATCAACCCATGAACCAAGAGGTTGTTGGTTCGATTCCCTGTCAGGGCACATGCCTGGGTTTTGGGCTCAATCCCCTTTAGGGGGTGTGCAGGAGGCAGCCAATGGATGATGCTTCTCTCTTATCAATGTTTCTATCTCTCTATCCCTCTGCTCTCTCTCTAAAAAGTAATAAAGGGGAATTATTTTTAATTAAAAAAAAAGTTAAAAGCAAGAAGTAGTGCCTACAGTGTCAGGTCATACAGTCACTTTGAAATTTTCAAAGAGGAAATTTAACCTCTTCTAGTTCCTCAAACATTGGATTTAATGCTACCAACATGCCAAAGAGATTAAGGTAGAAGGGACATGTCGATAAGGTTAGTAAAATAATAGCATTTAAGAGCCCATTTACTGATAAATGATGCCAGACTCTACGAAGTTAAAAAGATAGCAGTAGCACATGGTGAAGAAATACAGCTAATAAATGTAGACCATTGGGGGGGAATTTGCACAAAAAATGATAATCATATAGAAATCAATTGTAAAACAAGGGCACTTTTCAAGATACATTTGCAATATGAGAACACTAGAGGCCTGATGCATGAAATTTGTGCAAGAGTAGGCCTTCCTTCCTTGGGCTGCCAGCACCAGCTTCCATCTGGCACCCAGAACCCAGGCTTCCCTCTGGCTGCCCACGGGCACCTGAGACCCAGGCTTCCCTTGCAGCCCTGGCTTTGTCCACAAGGTCGTCCAGAAGGCAATTAGACTGGATGTCCTTCCGGACGACCTTGCAGACAAAGCCGGGGCTATGAGGCAAGTCCGGGTCCCGGGTGCCAGAGGAAATCCGGTGCTGACAGCCAGGGGAAGGAAGGCCTACTCTTGCAGGAATTTTGTGCATTGGGCCTCTAGTATATATATATATATTATAGATGACAAGCAGGGACATGGACACACTAGGCATTGGGAAGGCATGGAATCTAAGGTACAGGAGCTATCTTTAAAAGAAGATATCAAGCCCTAGCCGGTTTTGCTCAATGGTTATAGCATCAGCCTGGGACTGAAGGGTCTAGGGTTCCATTCCAGTCAAGGGCACATACCACAGTTGCCGTCTCAATCCCTGACCCTGGTCGGGAAGTGTGTGGGAGGCAAGCAATCAATGTGTCCCACATTGGTGTTTCTCTCTCTCTGTTTCTCCCCCTCCTTTCTACTCTCTAAAAATCAGTGGGGGGGGGGGGGGGGGTGAATATCTCCAGGTGAGGATTAACAAAAGAAAGAGAAGAAGAAGACATCCAAATTAAATGCTGAAAGTGAAGCAAATGGAGGATCAGGAGCTTAAGAAGAGAGCAGTCACCAAGAGCCGCAGAAGCAATAAAAAGAGGACCAACAATGCTGATTACAAATGTCATCACCAGAAAGCAGAGCCTCTTAAAAGACTTCCTACTCCTCTGATCTCAGGAATCTAATTAATTCACTATTGCTGAATGTGCTGTGATCTTCTTTTAAATGGGAACTAAACTTTACCTTCACACTTTTTTCCTCCTCCTTTAGTATATCTTCCAAATTGGTAGCTTTCTCTTCTGCTGACATAGTTTTCTCAGTTATCTGCTCTAATTTTTCTTTTGCATTCTCATTAGATTTTTTAATTCTGTGTAACCTAGAAAGAGTTTATAATAAAAAAACAGAAAACATGTCTAGAGGTATTGAATGCAAACAAACAAGGAATAGTTTGTCCTACAATTTTTTCATATAACTTCAAGTTATATGAAAAAATTTTTACCATAAACCATTTTATTACCAATACATAGTTAATATGCCATAAAAATATTACTCCTGAGCCTTTGTGATGAAACACCTGTGACATTTTTTAATTTAATAATTTAGTAGCTATAATTTTATAGCTATTTAACAAAAAAATATGTTTCTAGAAGTAAATTAAGAACTATAAATATATTTAAACATCTTTTTTCTTACCTTGTTGTTTCTCCATCAATATCCTTCTTTATTTTGGAAGTATTTTTCCTCAGAGCTTCTACTTCACTGGAACTTCTATTCACAGTGGCTTTTAAAGAATCCAGCTATTTATTAATTAACAGACAGAAAGTATATATTTACTCTGTATTTTATAAATTAATTTCATTTCCAAAAATTCCTTTTTGAAGCACTTCAATTTCTAACCTTCATCATTCCCATAAACACAATAACCATATTGCTGTAATACATATTAACAGCTTTTCTTTTTGATCTAATATTACAGTTTAAACTGCTTGTATAATACTGGCAAATTATAAAGACCCACATATATGTGTTTAAAATACATTAGAGCAAAACCTCACAACATTGGATTTGACAATGATTTCTTGGATGTGACACCAAGGGCACAGAGAACAATTAAAAATTAGACAAGTTGGACTTCATTAAAATTAAAAACTTTTGTGCATCAAAAGACAATATCTACACAGTAAAAAGGCAATCAACAGAATGAAAGAAAATTTGCAAATCAATATGTGGTAAGGGATTAATATCCAGGATGTACGGAGATCTCCTAAAACTCAACAACAACAAAAGATTAAAAACTGGGCAAAGGGCCTAAAGATACATTTCTCCAAAGAAGACATACAAATAACCAAAAAGCACATGAAAATATGCTCTACATCATTAACCATTAGGAAAATGCAAATCAAAACTACAATAAAATTCCACCTCACACCCATTAGGAGGGCTACTATAAAAGGTAATAATAACTAGTATTGGTGAAAGTGTGGAGAAATTAACCCTGTTGGTACAGCCACTGTGGAAAACAGTACGACAGTTTCTCAAAAAATTAAAAACAAAATTACCATACGATCCAGCAATTGTGAGGTAAATGTATACCCATGTTCATAGCAGCATTATTCATAATAGCTAAAAAATGGAAGCAACCCAAGGGTCCATGGACAGACGAATGGATAAGCAAAATGTGGTATACACATACAATGGAATAGTATCCAGCCTTAAAAAGAAAGGAAATTTTGACATATGCTACAACATGGATGAATCTTGAGGACATTATACTAAATGAAATAAGCCAGTCACAAAATACTGGATGATTCCACTTGTGTGAGGTACTTAAAGTAGTCAAAATCATAGAGACAAAATAGAATGGTAGTTACCAGGGAATGGTAGAAGGGAGGGATGTGGAGCTATTGTTTAGTGGGTACAGTTTTATTTTTACAAGAAAAAAAGAGGTATAGAGATAGATGGTGCTGATGGCGGTACAACATTAGGAACGTATTTAATACCAGTGAGAACACTTAAAATGGTTAAGATGGGGGAGAACCAAGATGGCGGCATAGGTAAATGCCAGTACTCGCTGCCTCCCACAACCACATCAAAATTACAACTAAAATACGGAACAACCATCATTCAGAACCACCTGAAATCTGGCTGAATGGAAGTCCTGCAATTAGAGAAGTAAAGAAAGCACATCGAGATTGGTAGGAGGGACAGAGGCACAGAACGGTCTGGTCCAACACCCATGTGTGCCATATTTTTAATTGGGAAGGATATCTCCAAGGCCTCCATGAGAAGCAGGGGTTTCCAGCCCCACACTAGATCCCCAACCCAGGATTCCAGAGTTGGGAAGAGAAGTCCCCGTAACTTCAGGCTGTAAAAACCAGCAAGAATTGTAGTTAAGAGACACGGGTCTCTTAAAGGGCCCACACATGAATCTACTTAGTCCCGCTTCCTCTGAGTTCCAACTCTGAGTGGTGGCTTTGGGAGAATCCAGTGGCATACAGGGAGGAACTGGACTGTTTGGCATTGAGGTAGGAACTCAGGGGTGGCTTTCTCCCAGTTAATGGTGTTCACAGGGGTCATTGTTCCTGTGCTGGGACTTCCCCCATCGCAGAGCTGACTGGCAGCTATATCTGAGTTTCCATCAGCCTGGCCCACACTGCTCATTCTATCCTGGTGATTCCCTGAAACCCTGCCTCATTCAATTTGCAGCCCCACTCAAGCTGTTTGCGCCTGCTTTTCCATATGAATGGCCAGACGTTGCTAAAATCTCTTTAAAAAGCAGCAGCAGGTGTCATTGTGTCCCAAACCTATCAATAAAAGGCCCAAGACCCAGAATTAACACCAGCCTGCCTTGCTTCACACCTGGGCCTTGCCTGGGCACTTCCTAGCCCAATATAAGTAACAGCCATCTGCAGATCTCTGTGCAGTTTCTAACTTTGCACCTCCTGAAAAGCCCCAGAGCCAGTGTACCTGGTGGACAGCTTCAGACCATAGCAGATTACAAGTGATACATTCAAGGGGCAGACTCAGTGAGCACCAAAGCCCCAATGCAGCAAATCCTGCTCCATAGGGGTGTCTCCTGCACTACAGCTCTTCCATTGTAGATGGCAGCTGGTCCTCACAGTCAGTTGGCCTGGAGGTCAATCCCTCCCAGTGATGCCAACAGCAATCAAGGCTCAACTACAACAAGAATGTGCATACAGACCATACAGGGACATACCTAGAGTGCCCAGCTCAGGTGACTGGGGAGACTGAACCACTGGGCCCTATAGGACACGTAATATACAAGGCCACTCTACCAACTCAAGGAGACATAGCAGCTCTACCCAAAAATAGAAACAACACAGGGAAGCAGCCAAAATTCAGAGACAAAGAAACATGTTACAAATGAAAGCAATGGAAGAAAGTAAACTACTGGATACAGAAACGATGATTATAAGGTTGCTCAAAGGCCTTAATGAGAGCTTCAAGGGACTTAGTGAGACTTTCAAGGATCTTAGTGAGAATGTCAAAGACATGAAAAAAGACCAGTCAGAAATTAAGCATACACTAACTGAAATAAAGATAATTTACAGGGATTCAACACTAGAGTAGAGGATTCTGAGAATCAATTCAATGATTTGGAATATGAGGAAGCAAAAAAACACCCAATCAGAAGAGCAAAAATAAAAGAATCCAAAAATATAAAGATTGTGTAAGGAGCCTCTGGTACAACTTCAAGCATACCAACATTTACATAATAGGGGTGCCAGAAGGAGAAGAGAGAGAAAGCAAGATATTGAAAACCTATTTGAAGAAATTACAAAAAAACTTTCCCTACCTGGTGAAAGAAATAGACCCAAACAAGAGGAACCCAAAGAGGCTCACACCAAGACACATCATAATTAAAATGTCAAGGGTTAAAGACAAAGAGAGAATCTTAAAAGCAGCAAGAGAAAAGCAGTTAGCTAACTATAAGGGAGCATCTGATTTCTTAACAGAAACTTTGTCGGCCAGAAGGGTGTGGCAAGAAATATTCAAAGTAATGAAAGACATGCAACCAAGATGACTCTACCCAGAAAAGCTATTATTTAGAATTGAAGGTCAGATAAAGAGCTTCACAGACAAGAAAAAGCTAAAGGAGTTCATCACCACCAAACTGCTATTACATGAAATGTTGAAGGGTATTCTTTAAGAAGAGGAAGAAGAAGAAAAAAAAAAGATAAAAAAATAAGAATAAAATGGCAATAAATATATATCTATCAACAATTGAACCTAAAAACAAAATAAACAAACAAGAAATCTAATGAACAAAATAAATTGAGGAATAAAATAGAATCAGAGGCATGGAAACATGGAACATATTGACAAATCTCAGAGGAAAGGGATGAGGTGGGTGTGGGGAGAAATTAACCAAGGATTTTATATGCATATATGCATTACCTATGGACACAGAAAATAGGGTGGCGAAGGCCTAGGGTGGGGCAGAAACCAGGTGGAGGGGGGCAATGGGGGAAGGATGGGGGACACCTGTAATACTCTCCACAATGGTTAAGATGGTAAATTGTATGTTACATGTATCTTATCACAATAAAAAATTGGAGAAAAGAAATGAATGAATGATATGTGCTACAACATGGATGAACCTTGAAAATATTATGTAAGTAAAAGAATCCAGCCCAACTAACATGGCTCAGTGGTTGAACGTTGACCTATGAACCAGGAAGTCACGGTTCAATTCCTGGTCAGAGCACATGCCCAGGTTGCAGCCTCTATCCCCAGTGTGGGGTATGCAGGAGGCAGCCAATCAATGATTCTCTCTCATCATTGATGATTCTATCTCTCTCTCCTTTTCCCTTCCTCTCTGAAATCAATACAAATATATTTTTTAAAAAAGAATCCCAGACACAAAAGGCTCCATACTATATGATTTCATTTATATGAAATATCCAAAAGAAGCAAATCCATAGTGAAACAAAGTAGATTAGTAGCTGCCAGGAGCTGGTTGGAGGGGGAAAAGAAAGTGATTGCTAATGGGTGTGGGGGTGCCTTTTAAAGTGACAAAAATATTGTAAAATTAGATTGTGGTGGTATGTGCACAATTCTGTGAATACACTAAAAATTATGGTTTGTGGATTATATCTCAATAAATAAATTATGAAGAAATCCCTGCATTATTTTTTATTATTGTTATTTTTTTCTTTATTGATTAAGATATTACATATGTGTCCTTATTCCCCCATTGTCTCCCACCCCCACCCCACTCCTGTTATTTTTCTGTCTTTTTTTTCCTGTTAGTTTTTTGGGAAAATGAAAATGAGAAAAAGCTGTCTCCTTTTTTTTCTATGATAGAAGAAACCTTAAAGAGAGAGGCAAGCATGGTGAGAAATTATGCTTCTCTGTCTCTGGATCTGTTTTTGTTCATCAGTTTATGTTGTTCATTATATTCCACAAATGAGTGAGATCATGTGATATTTATCTTTTCTGACTGGCTTATTTCGCCTGCATTCTTTTCTGTAATTGGTTTAAATTTTAAAATGTTTAAAAACAAGTTATTAGCAGTGGCATTTAACTTAGGCAAGAAATTCATTTATTTTACTTTTTTAGGATCTTCTGTAATTATTCTCTTTAGGCAAAAGAAAAACTTTCATTTTCATCAGAAATAAAAAGCATAATACCTTATAAAATAAAATGCTCTACAATATTCCAAATTCCCATCTAAACAATGTTAACTTCACATACTATGGTCTTAAGATATAAATTTCATAAAGAACTCTTTATTGCTAACTAGGGGAATTGCTACCTCTCCCTATGGAATAACCTAGTTAGCATGAACGCTGCAAAAGAAGAACAAAACAGAAGTTTTCTCCTCTCTTAATCTGTTTCATGGTATTTGACCACTACATTATTCCACTACCAGACTGAAATTTATTCCTTAACAAGGTGAGAAACTGAACTTAAACAGGTAACCCCACCATATACGTAGCAATGGAAAGATACTTCAAGTTATCACTAAGGTTAATATTCACCTTCACATTTTCCTATTTGCCGGTTATCATATAATTATGATTTCCAAGCGAGACCCTTTGGGAGCCTTTTGCCTGAGGTCACTAACAAAACATGTGTGACAGGTAGTTGGGCACTGCACAACTCCAGGGGGAGCCCTTCACACCACCTGTGATGCCAATGGCACCCCCTGATGCCTTCACCAACCAGGGGTCAGCTCAGAGTATCCCGAAAGTCCCACAGCATGAAAGGACGAAAAAAATAAAATAAAATAAGGCAGTACCTTAATCAAAGGAAAGGCTTTGTGCTTACTTTTATAGCAATTTCCCATAAACACGCAAACCAGTCTTTTTAGTTGCCATACCTCATCCTTCAGCTGATTTTTATGAACTTCATGCTGCTGGTATTCTTTTCTACATTTTGAAACTTTACGATCAGCAACAGAAATTTTTTTCTCATACTCTGTGTTATTTCCAATCTCACTTTCCAAAAACTTGATCTTTTCCTTAACCAAATTTTCTTTTTCTCTTGTTTCCTGTTTTATCTTTGCTAATGTCTAGGATTAAAAAAAAAAAGTAAATATATGTTTAATATGATGATCAAAATGAAAACTAAAAGAAATTTAGTTTTTATTTTTCTATTATTATATTTAGTATTTATTTTATCAAAACTTAAGAGAATGTTTTTTTTATATATTTTTTATTGATTTTTTACAGAGAGGAAGGGAGAAGGAGAGGGATAGAGAGTTAGAAACATCGATGAGAGAGAGACATCGATTCAGCTGCCTCCTACACACCCCCTACTTGGGATGTGCCCGCAACCAAGGTACATGCCCTTGACCGGAATCAAACCTGGGACCCTTCAGTCCGCAGGTCGACGTTCTATCCACTAAGCCAAACCGGTCAGGGCAAGAGAATGTTTTTTAAGAGAGACTATATTTATATGAACTAAAACAAAATATTAATATGCTACACACCAAAAAGTAAGCTTATATTTTTAAAGGTCTCTATATTTTCTTTCATCTACTTGGTACTTTGCTAAAGAGATGAGGAAAATATCAATCTTTTATGAATGAAAAGTGACATTTAAAAAATATAACAGTGTTATATATTTTTAACATAGAAAGTTTAATTTCAATGAAATTTTCCAAATATTTCATAGGACCAGTTTGTTTTTCATCTTTTGAGAATAGCATTTTAGTTATTGGCTTCAATAGGAATTCCTTCACTCAGGCTTTTTGATGGTCTTGACTATACAAAATTAACAGAATATGGGAAGTAGTAGCTGAGATGTGGACAGAGTGTTATGAGAACAAAGAGAATAAGGTCTACCCAAGAGGAGTCATTAAAAGGCATATCTAACAGGCTTAATTTAAGTCGGCCTAAAAAGACAAATGGAGATACATAAAAACTCAGTGTAGTAAAAGTGCATGGTTGGGGGGGGGCAGAAATAGAATAGGGATATATTAAGAAGGGGTGGGTCAGATGAAAGGGATGAGGCTGGAAAAGTAGAGGTTGGGGCTGAACTGTGGAGAAATCCTATTTTTCAATTGTTATGTCAAAGAGGGTCAACTTTTAAGTAATATGGAACAAAAATGATTGTAGAGCTGGGGAATAAAAAGATCATATATTTTTTTACAAGTGATTATTACTGCAATATGTTGGATAAATTGGAGGGTGAAGAAAAATTTACCCTAAAATACATTTCTTGCAAGTTTTCTAAAATGGGGTCCCACCAAACAACTAATCCCAGGAGATGGGTGTGGGGGAGGCATGTGGTCTAAAATTAGTAAGTTTTAGAAATGCTACATGTAATATTATACATATTAGCATATTAAGTGGATATATATCTGAGATGCACTGCATTTAAAAAAACATTTTTAATTTGCTTAATCTAGTATTCCTCTATGTCCTCTATGATAAGTAACATTCTATAATTGTAGCAATCTATATATCTACTGTGTTCATTCAACCAAAAGACAGGTCAAAACTTCTTAGGTTTATATATGGCAAATGATCATTCTGGAATTTCCTGCTTTATACTGATTTTTCTACTACTTAATCAGGTGCTTTATTCTACTTCAGTGTTCACATTATTTAACAGTGCTATCTATTCACAGGTAAGTTTTCATATAGGTAATGCTTATAAGTAATATCTCAAAATGTTTATACTGAAATAAAAGCATAATGGAAAAATATTTATAAATAATGAAAAGTTTCTTTTAAGAAGACAGTTCCAGGATCCTATGGTCTGACTCCTGCCAAGAAGACTCTGAGAAGGCAGAAATTGTTTTGGAGGAAAAAAAAACCAAAAGGGTCCAATGTCATATTTCACTTTCTAGTGGTGTGAACCGGCTCTCACTGGCTCAGCACAACTGACTTGCACTTCTCTTCTCAACGCTGTGTCCAGTGAAGACCTGTTGGTATGGAAACAGTTTCACCACAGAAATCAGAAATGCCACAGATCGGGAGCCAGTTGTTAAACACTTAGAAGCTTACCTCTACCTGGGAGCCATTTCTTAGCAACCTCCCCATCCTCCTACAATACAGACAGCCAGGACATATCAGCCTGTAAGGAACCACTGTGAGTATGACAAGTTGTATATTCTGCCAAATCAGCAGGCTCTCCCTTCAACTGTGGGGTTGTATGAGAATTGATTGTGGATCTGCAGTCTTAGATTGGGCACATTTTATTTATACAGAGGAAGTAGTTTAGGACTTGATGTTTGAAAGCAATGAGAAATCAGTAAAGAGAAACCAACATCAGCATTAACAATGAAAAGGAACTCAGTTAAGACTGGCTCTCCCTTGCCCCTCCTAGGGAGGCCTAGGCCATTTTGTATTCAATCAGTGTGGCATTCCTCCCTTCGGAGCTTCTACCACTTCTATCCCATCATTGGTGCCTCGGCTTCAAAAGTGAAACTTTATTGGAGTCCTGGTTTCTTTCCTGACTCTCCCTTCCTGTCTCTGGGATCCCCATGAGGCTCATTTCCCTGCACCTGTGTGTACAGATAGCACACATGTTAAATCCAAGGCACCACAAACAACTGTGTGTATGTAGGGCATTGATTTTACTGCAATAACATTATCTAACTTTCTCTTGTTCCACAGTTCAGAGATGGCAGGATCTAGTCTTTGTCATTATACTACCACTAGTGACCTGGTGCACGGATTTGTGCATAGTGAAAGGAAATTAATTAGAAGGTGGCGGTGGGATGGGACTGGGCAAGACAGGCTGGACACGCCCTGGAGCCAACCTCCTGGTGGTTTCTCCCTGGCATCTGTGGAATGAGTGGGGTCCCTCCAGAAGGTGGGGTCCCTTGTCCTGGCCTGTGGGGATCAGACTGAAACCAGCTCTCCGACATCCCCCGAGGAGTCCTGGAGTTGCTGTCGTACAGGGTGTGGAACGCAAATGCAAGTGTGTAGTAAACCAGACTCGGGGCTAACAGTTCCCCAGCAACAACATAACCCACGGCCGAAGGTGGAATGGCAGGGCCCCACAAGAAATTGGCTCCCTCCTCTCTGGTTTCGGGGTGCATCACCAAAGAACTGCGGCTGCCAAGTCACTGCAGCTCGGCAGCTCCTGCTTTGAGTGTCTGCCCCCAGTGGTAAGTGCGCATCATAGTGACTGGTTGGATGGGTGGAGGGACACTTAGCATATTAGCCTTTTATATATATAGATAAGTAATATACATAAAATCACATTTCTAAATGAATGGAGTCAGCTTTGAAAAACATTTACCAAAATTAATGAATCTCCTACAAAAGTGACTTTCAAATAACATTGTGGTTTACAGTTGAAATTAATGAGTTAAACACAAAAGAGAATAAATACAGCTGAACATTGCAAGGACCAAACAACTACTTTACCAAGGCACAGTTATCAATGTCTCGATCTCTCTTCTTCATCTGTTCTATTGTGCTTTCCCACTGTTTAATGAGTTCTTGTCTCTCATTATGAATCCTACGAAAATCTTGCGCTGCTTTATCCAATTCTAACTGTCAAATAGAGAGCAATAACATTTCTTGAATGTAAGTGCTTTTGCAAACATCACTTAAACAATTAAGAAATAAAAAAATCTTCACTGAACCAACCTGTGCACTTAGAGTCTCTGTAGTTTCATTGTCAAGTACCTTTCTTTTCTGATTACCTTCCAAAGTCAGCCTTTCTAATTGCAGGGTCAGTGCCTATGTAGTTACATGCAAAAATAGGTATGATTATCATTGGATTAACTTAAAACTATTAGCGTATCTCATATTAAGTTTTATTATATTACTAGAGGCCCAGTGCATGGATTCATGCACAGGTGGGGTCCCTCGGCCTGGCCTGCGGGGATTGGGCCGAAACTGGCTTTCCGACATCCCCCGAGGAGTCCCGGATTGCGAGAGGGTGGTTCTTGGGTGACGCACCCTGCAATTGGGCTCCCTCCTCTCTGGTTCTGGGTGCATCACCCGAGATCCGAAGCTGCCAAGTCACTGCAGCTTGGCAGCTCCTGCGTTGCACATCTGCCCACTGGTGGTCAGTGCACATCATAGCTACCGGTCAGACAGTTGGATGATTGCTTAGGCTTCTATATATATATTTGATACCCAAAACAAATACTATATATATATACATATATATCTACACTAATAAAAGAGAAACATGGTAATTAGCGTACGACCGATACCCTTTTCATTGGCTAATCAGTGAGTATATGCAAATTAACTGTCAGCCAAGATGGCGGCCGGCAGCCAGGCACTGAAGCGAGCATGAGGCTTGCTTGCTGCGGACTCCAACGTTCCCCGCCTCACTTGCCAGCCTCTCATCTGCAAGTCTAAGCAACTATATACTATGTTGCAAATAAGAAGGTAAACAAAACCCCAGAAAACAGCCAGACTGAAATCCAGCCGGACCAAAACATTGGATCTATGTTTTCAGCAGCGAGGCCTCAGAGCTAAAACTGGCCCAGAATAAAAAAAAAAAAAAAGGAGCAGTTGGAAGCTTCAGTCACTCGCCAGCCGGAAAACAGCCCTCAGCCCCTCACCCAGACTGGCCAGGCACCCCAGTGGGGACCCCCACCCTGATCCAGGACACCCTTCAGGGCAAACCAGCCAGCCCCTACCCGTGCACCAGGCCTCTATCCCATATAGAAAAAGGGTAATATGCCTCCCGGCACCGGGATCAGCGTGACAGGGGGCAGCGCCCAACCCCCCTGATCGCCCTGCGGCTCTGTGTGTGACAGGGGGCGGGGCCACAACCTCCCTATCCACCCTGCTCTGTTCGTGACAGGGGAAGGCACCCCACCCCCCTGATCAGCCCTGCTCTGTGCCTGATAGGGGGGAGCTCCCCAACCCCCTGATCGGCCCTGCTCTGTGCATGACGGGGCGGCGCCCCAACTCCCCAATCGGCCCTGCTCTGTGCATGACGGGGCGGCGCCCCAACTCCCCAATCGGCCCTGCTCTGTGCATGACGGGGCGGCGCCCCAACTCCCCAATCGGCCCTGCTCTGTGCATGACGGGGCGGCGCCCCAACTCCCCAATCGGCCCTGCTCTGTGCATGACGGGGCGGCGCCCCAACTCCCCAATCGGCCCTGCTCTGAGCCTGACCAGGGGCTGCACTTAGGGATTGGGCCTGCCCTCTGCCACCCGGGAGCAGGCCTAAGCCAGCAGGTCGTTATCTCCCGAGGGGTCCCAGACTGCGAGAGGGCACAGGCCGGGCTGGGGGACCCCCCTCCCCCCGCCCCCCGAGTGCACAAATTTTTGTGCACCGGGCCTCTAGTACACATATAAATGTATATATTCTTAATCTTTTAACCTCTAGGGCTGCAATGAAAATTGTTTTTTAAAAGACTTTTAATACATTTTAAAGTATGTTAGAAAAAAGATGAACAATTTTCCATTTAAAATAATGCATTTGGTATTAAGTCTATTAGAAAATAGCATGTTTCATTATACTAAAGCATTACCATATTTCATTACAACTAGATTTTAAATAATAATTATAATAATATATTAAATAATCAAAGCACTAAAGTCTTAAATCAGCTAAAACTATATGTAATGACAAAATTTTGTAGGTATTTGAATATACTCATTTTTCTAGAGAAAGGATACTTGGCTTTATTAGATTCTGGAAGGAAACTGACCCCAAAAATGTTTAAGAAGTACTGCTTTAAAATTCTAAGTCCAATTTAGATAAAAAGGTTGACACACTACAAAATCAGAGAAAACCTGACATTACAATTTCTAATTTCTCACCCTAATTTTATTATCATCTTGTTGTGCATATTTCTGGAGAGTTAGGGCATCACTATCTTTGTGAGCTGATTCTTCTAACCAGGCCTCCAATGCCTGCTGGTCCCAGTTCATTTGACGTTTCAAATCATCCAATTTTTGAGTAAATTTAAATATCTGATTCTAATATCCAAAGAGAGAGGACAGGGTAAGATTAAAAAAACATTATTTACAATATAAACTAAAATAAAACATAGCATTACATACTATACAGAACATATAATAAAGAAAAAAAGGAATCCTGTCCCTGACCTCTAGATGAATACTAGTATAATATACCATATTTAATTATGTAACTATAATACTTGTATTTTAATTTTTTAGTTGTAAAACAGAGGAGAAATTATTATACATAGTTGAGAACAGTAGTTACTTTAAAAGATGTTAGGGGAGTTCCCCCAAAGCAATCTCATTAGTCACTCCATCATAGCCACCTCAAGAGAATGTGCAATCTTAGGAAAAATAATGAGCTTGATATGCTAACTCAAGCCCAAGCCAAGTCCCCTTCAACCCCATTTCCAACCAGATTGCTGCCTCTAAGAAGCCTCTTACACAGAAATTATGAAAGCACTTCTAATTGAAATAAATACAGCAGTTAAGAAAATAAAAATGTTTCTGTACATATATTCATTTAACAAATCTAGATTCATAAAAGAAAACTGATGAATATACAGACACAAATTAATATAATAAAATATGTATGTGTGTACATATACATATATACGTGTGTGCATTTCCATATGCATATACATATGTAAAGAGAAGAGTCGAATTTAGAAAAAGTGCCCAAATCAAGTAACTAAAAACTAAGAAAAAGAAAAAAATATGTACAGTAGCTTAATACTGGTCATAAGTTGATAAGTTAATATGAAAGGTAAAATCAATAAAAAATTAAAAGTGATATTTTAAAATGTGGCTTTTAAAAATGTAGCACTTATGAATAAATTATGCCTAGCATTGTATAACAGGCAATCAACATGGTGGTTTGCATATAGTAAGGTTCAATGAGTATCTGGTAAATGAACATTGGGAAAATAAATGTAACATTCTATCATTGTTTCATTCAAATCACAGCTCCATGTGCCTTCCATTGTCCAAGAAAACAATGTAAGAAAATGTTAGGAAACTAATGAACGCCTTTCCCATACTGAAAAAAGTCAGTGTTTGTTTGGTGAGGGAAGCAGGAACAATGGCACAAAATTTTAAGTAACATTTCAACACATACTTCCTTATCACTTTTCTTTTCCCGTATTAAAGTGATGTCATTTTCCAGTCTTTGGATTTCATTTTTCACTCGACTCAGCTCTCTTTCTGCAATGGTCTTAAAATGCTCTTCACTTTCAATCTCATGTTCCCTGGCTTTGCAAAGAGACTACAGAAAAACATACAAGATAGACTTTTTACATTTTAGTATTAAAAATATTTATAATAATCCATTAGACAAAAACATAACAAAGTTCCCACAAAATGCCTATATTAAGTATCATTAATTCCACTTCTCTTAAACCTATACCACATTAGACTTTGTGATTCAGTGTAGACAGTGTTGTTTACTATTTATAAGATAATTAATTCATAGAATGTGTTAGGAGAAAAATACTGTTGTCAGTGATTTTCAGATACTAGGTTGGGCTAGGGAATTTGCAGAAAACCAAACTTTATATGGTTATACTTTAAAAGATCTAACTAATAATTTAACCTTAGCTTACTGTAAAAAATAATTAATTAATTAAAAATTTAATAAAAATATACGTCATTACTTAACTAAAAATAAGAAATAAAACTGATTAAAAATACTTGGGAAATGGGATAGTTATATGAATTGATCACATAAATTAGCAGAGATAATTTTTAAATAATTATGTAAACATTGGTTATGAATATTTCCTAGACTATATTAATAAACGAACATGCCTTTGTTATGCTTCACTTAATAAAATAGTACTTGTTGACTACTGATTTTACATTGCTTTAAAGTTATCACTATTGGTATTATTTTTACATTGTTAAAGCTGTTACTCTTGTAGGAAGTTTACTACTTTCGTCTCTTATCTTAGTTGAGGTTTGACTATAATAAAATATACCCACAAAGAGTCTCTCTCAGATCCCCAACTCAGTGGTTTAATAACTTGAGGAAAAGATGTTGTTCCTACCATTTATTAATTACTCAATCATATCAGGATTCAAAAATATGAAGTATTGTTTTTAGAAGTTCATTAACTTTTTAAAAAAATATATATTTTTATTGATTTTTTTACAGAGAGGAAGGGAGAGAGATAGCAAGTTAGAAACATCGAGTCAGCTGCTTCCTGCACACTCCCTACTGGGGATGTGCCAGCAACCAAGGTACATGCCCTTGCCCAGAATCGAACCTGGGACCCTTCAGTCTATAGGCCGACGTTCTACCCACTGAGCCAAACTGGTTAGGGCTCATTAACATTTTAACTTTCTTCTCATAAGACTGTTAAAGCATGAAATAGGAAGATGGTGGCGGATTAAGTGGAAGCTACACTGACACCCTCCCAGGACCAAACTGGAATTACAACTAAATTATAGAAAAACCATCCTGAATAATCAACTGAAGACAAGCTGGAGAGAACCGTGATAACAATGACTTGAAAGTGGAGACAGCATAGAGACTGGTAGAAAGTGCGGAGTCAGGAGAAGGCTGCCAGACTCCACCACCGGAGGATATCTCAGCTGTGGGGGGTTCCTATTGAGAACTCTGCGGTCTAAATCCCACTTGGGTTCCTCAGCCCAGAGCACCAGAACTGAAAAAGCTGCCCACATAACATCTGGCTGTGAAAAGCAGCGGGGTTTCTGTCTACCAGGGTGAGAAGGCTGGAAATGCAGGCACCCTCTTAAAGGGCCGATGGACAAAATTCTGTGTGTAGTCACTGGTCTTGGGCTCCAGCAGAGGGAGGGCAGAGGGGACTGGAGCTGTGTGAGCAGACTCCAGGGCAGGGGGCTCTGGGGATAGAGCTCAGAGACCAGTCGCCTGGATTCCTGGGCTGAGTCGTTCCCCCAGACTGTAGAGGACATCTTTCTCAAGTTTGCAAAAAGCGTGAAATAGTTACTTATCTATATTAATTACAAATTGGCATTTAAAACATGACTTTGTTCATTTTTAAGAATTACATTATTTCAAAGAAATGCAGATGTACTTTTAAAAACAGAGTTTGACATGGAAGTTAGTCAACACTCCAGTGCTGATTTGCTGAGCTAATTTTCTGGGCTTCGTCAGGGAATGAGGTTCTACACATGAGTAGACTGTCCATAAAACAGATGCTTTGATTAATCACCCTAAGTTTCAATTTGTATTATTTTATTACGTTTTCTAAAATGCAGTACACTGTCCCCAGTTATCCTAAATATAATTTAACGATTATCTCAGGATGTCATTATAAATTTCAGTTCTTAAACTCGGCTAAAAGACTATGCCTAAGGGCTACTGAAGTGTTAGAACTATTTGCTTCCACTCAAAATGGTCCCAGTGGGTAGTGCTAAATAATTAGAAGTAGACAGAAACTCTCTTATGTGTTACAGTAAGTCTATTTCTGCTTAAAGTCATTATTTCTCACTGTATCACTGTACCTTTCTCATGCAATCTGCTGCCTAACATTATATTAGACTGTTTGAATGATGATTTATTCTTTCAAATGAATTAATTATTCCTTGAACTTGGTGGCAGTAGTGAGTTCCTCAAAGACTTTTTTCTGCCTACTTTCAAATTCAAGGCTATGTTCACTATAGATTAGTTATGCTAAATTTTCCTATTATGTCTATAAAATAACATCACAGATATAAATGCAATGGGAAATGTTCCATAACTACACATGATATAATCAACATGAATTTCAACATTATATATACCTGTGTATATAAGAACTCTTGTCTAACATTTTTTAAATGAGAAGCTATAGAATTAATTCGTTCTTCATAGACATGTAGTTGATTTTGCAAGTATGACTTCTCATCCTGCAGCTTTGACAACTGTAAATAATAAACACGATGATTAGTCAAAGTCTACTAAGTTCTTACCATATTTAACGATGTAAAATCAAGATTATTTACTTTTCTTTTTTAAAATATTAATTTGAACTTCAAAAATCTACTGCCCTTTCGATTATAAAATAGTGCTGTGTTTAAAGATTATTGTGGGAAAATTAGCACCACATTAAAACAAAATAGAAATCTCTCTCAGATTTGCAACATTAGCAAGGTCCACAGCTACAATGCTATATTTTAAGTAAAAAAAAAATGAGATCCTATTCCATAATTAAATGACAAGGTCCCAAATCAAACAAGAGCATAGAAACAATGCCTAACGACAGCAAAAAATAGATCATTAGCCATAAATTTGAAAAGTAGATGTATACCAAGCATAATAGCTCCTATATTTTGTGTCTTTGAATTAGAACCTGAGCAGACCCAAAACAATGTAAGTCCAAAACAAATAAAAACTTTTAGGAAATTGAAGATAGATTCTCAGGACCATTAGAATATGTTATCCCTGAAAGCAATATAGAAGCTCAACAAAACAAAAATATGCTTCTTTATAGTCTTGAGCTGTGGTTCCAAAAGTGGAGGCTACAACCCAGGAGGGGCACAACACAATTCACCAACGTGCAGAAGAAAATACTTGAATTTTGAACTAAGGAAGAAAGAAAAATATACGAATTTACTCATTTGTTATGTCCTAAGTAATAGTAAGTATGTATTTTTGGCTTTTTATTTCATTAACTAGAGGCCCAGTGCACAGATTTGTGCACATTGAAAGGAAATTAATTAGAAGGTGGCTGGTGGGGCAGGACTGGGCGAGACGGGCCAGTCACGCCCTGGAGCCAACCTCCTGCGGTCCCTCCTTGGTTGGCCACACCTGGGGCAGGGCCGGGCTCAAAGGGCATCTGCGGAGTGAGCAGGGTTCCTCTGGCAGGTGGGGTCCCTCAGCCTGGCCTGCGTGGATTGGGCCGAAACCGGCAGTCTGACATCCCCCAAGGGGTCCCAGAGTGCGAGAGGGCACTCTGCAAAGTGGCTGTCGTTTGGCAGCTCCTGAGTTGAGCATCTGCCCCCTGGTGGTCAGTGGGCACCATAGCTACTGGCCAGAGTTTCTGCCCACTGGTCGTCATTGCACGTCATAGCTACTGGTCAGACTATTGGACGGTCGCTTAGCCTTTTATATATATAGATTTCAATTTTTAATTCCCTCTTTTGTTTACTTTCTTGTTAATTTCTTTTTACTTTATTAAAAGTTCTTAGTTTTGTCGGGTTTTTTTGTCTTACTGATTTTTATGGGCTGAATGTTTGTGTCACCCCCACATTCATATGTTGAAGCCCCTAATCCTCAATGTGATGGTATCTGGAGGAGGGCCTTTGGGAGGTAAGTAGGTTTAAATGAGGACCTGATGGTGTGACACTCATGATGAGATTAGTGTCCTTATAATAGAGAAACCAGAGGGTCTCTCTCTGCTGTGTGAGAACACAGGAAGAAGGCAGCCATCTAAAGCCGGAAGAGTGCTCTCACCAGAACCCACCATGCGGACACCCTGATCTCGACTTCTAACCTTCAGAACTGAAAAATAAAATGTCTGATTTTGTTTGTTTTTTTTAATCATTCAGTCTATGGTATTTTGTTATAGCAACTTAGGCTGCCTAAGACACTGATTAGAAGGCATTTAGGCTATACATTTTCTCTAAGTAAGAGTTTTGCTGCTTCCCATGGGTGTAGGTACCAAGCAGTCTCCTTTACAGTTTTCTAATTGGTGACTTTCCCCTTTCAACTTTTATTTGATGTAAGAGCCATCCAGCAATATATTTCTGAGAAACTTGCTTAAGTATTTAAAATGAATTTCTTAGTCAGCTCAGACTACCAAAATAAAATACCATAGACTCGTGGCTTAAACTAAAGAAATTTCTTTCTCACAGTTCTGGAAGCTGGGAAGTCCAAGGTCAAGGTGGAATCTCTTTTCCTAACTTGTAGCTGGCCACATTCTCCTGTGTCCTCACGAGAGAGAGAGAGAGAGAGAGAGAGAGAGAGAGAGAGGACTCTCTAGTCTCTCTCTTTTTATAAGGACACTAATCCCCTCATGGGCCCCACCCTCATGACCTCATCTAAACCCAATTACCTCCTGAAAGCTCCACCTGCTACAAATACTATCACATTGAGGTTTAGGGCTTCAACATATGAATGGTTGTGGGGAAGTGGGGACACAAACATTCATTCTCTGACAATAGAAAATCATTTTTTAAATTAACACAAATTCTATTGGCTTATAATCAGAGAATGTGACCTATAAAATTTCTATCACTAATTTTTAAATTGTGGTAAACTGTACATAACAAAAATTTTATCATTTTAACCATTTTTCAAAGTACATTAAGTAGTGGCAAATTTTTTTAATCTAGAATTTTCTACTCAGCCAAATCACCATCAAATATGAAAGCAAATAAAAACATTTCGACTTAGAATGTTTGCCTCCCATACACCCTTCTTAGGGAGAAATACAAGAAAGTATTTCATGAGAGAGAGAGAGAGAGAGAGAGAGAGAGCGAGAGAGAAATCCAAGAAAAAAGAAGATAGAGTGACAAAGCAGTAAGGGGGGAAAAGGGAATTAACAAGTTAACAATTGGGAGATAGGCCAGCAGAAAAATTGTCCATATTGAAAAGCATAGGACTCCAAAAGAAGGAGTGGGAGAAGAGAGAAATTATCTTGAAGATCTGATATAAACTTAAAGCAGGCAATGGAGGGAATCAAACTGGCAACTGAGGATGCAAGGAATTAAAAGCACAATACAGCCATGGCTAGTGGGGCTCAGTCTGTTGTAGTGTCCTCTCCTGCACCAAAAGGTTGTGGTTTCAATTACCTAGGTTGCAGGTTCGATTGCCAGTCAGAGGGAGCACGGTGTTTCTCTCTCACATTGATATTTCTCTCTCTCTCTTTCTCTTTCTCTCTCTCTCTCTCTCTCTCTCTCTCTCTCTCTCTCTCTCCCCCTCCCTCCCTTCCTCCTTTCCCCTATTTCTAAAATCAATAAGCATGTCCTTGGGTGAGGATTAAAAAATTAATTAATAAATAATAAAAAAATCCTATATAATAAAAGCCTAACATGCTAAGTGACCATTTGTTCAACCATTTGACTAGTTGCTATGATGCACACTGACCACCAGGGGGCAGATGCTCCAACTGGTAGGTTAGCTTGCTGCTGGGGTCCAGCCGATCAGGACTGGGGAAGATGGGCCGGACACACCCTGGAGCTCTCCTGGGGTCCCTCCCCAGCCTGATCGTGCACCAGTGGGGTCCCTTGGCCTGCTTGTGCCCTCTCACAATCCAGGACCCCTCTGGGGAATGTCTAGCAGGGGTCCTCAAACTACGGCCCGTGGGCCACATGCGGCCCGCCGAAAACATTTATCCGGCCCGCCGGGTGTTTTTGCCGCCGCTGTGTGCATAGGAATTTGTTCATAGTTTTTTTTTAAACTATAGTCCAGCCCTCCAACGGTCTGAGGGACAGTGAACTGGCCCCCTGTTTAAAAAGTTTGAGGACCCCTGGTCTAGAGAGCCGGTTTTGGCCTGATCCCCACAGGCCAGGCCAAGGGAACCCACTGGTGCACAAATCTGTGCACTGGGCCTCTAGTATGTATATAATATCCTGTGAGACAAATATTACGTCACTAATACCAAAAACTAACATTTGAATGGAACTTTAACCTCCATTAATGTCTTTAGAGCTGTACAACTGATGGGGAAAATAAGACATTTGGGGGTGCTAGCAATCTGAATCTGTGCCAGTAACCTAATATACATTCTTGATAACCTATATAAAAGTCACTGCCTCTTTCTCCACAATCTGGTCTTGCAAGACCAGTTTACCTAAGTACAACTCCCATTTCACAGAGGCCATAAACCATGAACAACCCCCGGAGGGGGTTATCAGTGCTGGCACCAGGCCAGGCCTTTAGGTGTGGTTTCACAGCCCCCATCCCAACACATGGGGCTTTTTGCAAAGCCGGAGAAAGGTACAGAAGTCCCATCCCATATTTGGGGGACAAAGAAACCAAAGGGTATAAAGGGAGAGCTTCCTCCGTATTGGTTTGCTCAGGATTTGGAGAGAAACAGTCTCCCCTGAGTCACTGTACCGGTACACGTGAAACATCTGAAAATAAATGGGTCTTTCCTGTGTCTCCAAGTACTCCTGTGTGTCCTTCGGTCACCTGGCAAATTCTGTAACATAACAACCCTATGTGGTAATTATTTTACTTGTCTTTGGCTTACAGGAGGAGAAACTGGCTCAGGGCTGGTAAGTACGATCTACACCTAGGGCTGGATACTTCTTCATATTGTGCCTGCATACCTAGTGCTAGATCTCTCACATTCGCTAATGTTGCCCTTCATTGAAAACAAAAACAAAAACAGCAGCCATCTAAATGTAGGCTTGAGTAAATACGTCAGAAGATTTTGAACCACAACAAAAAAAGTGAAGGATTTTCATTTTCATTTTTTCAGAGGAGGGAAAACCTTCTCTTCCATTCTCTAAGTAGTGTAAACATCATCAGTTCTTGGATCCTCTTCCACACAACACATAGGACTTTACACTGGCTGCTGAAGGTTTTTTTGTTTCCTGAGCGAGGTGCAACTTTATTTTGAACAACTACTATGCATTGGTTGCAAGTTGATGTAAAATACTCCTTACAACTTACAGTACCTTACATCCTTCTGTGACAACTAAAGTCTCAATTTGAAAAGCTGCACATTTTGCATTCTTACTAGAACGCCCCTCTTAACTTTTATTTGAGTCACTCTTAACTTTAACCATCATCGGCAGAACTCACAGAGAAATGTCAACCAGGGTGAGTTTCGTGGTCGGCACTAACGGTTGCTATGCAAACCATAGAAGTCCCTTTGCAAAATGCGCTTAATTCCGAGGAAGGAGAAAGTGGGCGCGGGAACCAGCCTTTCCTCTCCTGCCAAAGAGTCTGGAAATGAGCGCTTGGCCGGGGA